TCAAGTGGTGAGGAAAGCTTTGAGGCAACATGCAATTGAGAATAGGTATGAGTACTACCTATTGCATAATGACAGCAAAAGGATAACAACTTACTGTAGAAGAAGGTGTACCTGTCAATACAACAAGAAAAGTTGTAGGTTGGTTCAATGTACTTGTGTGAAAGGGAGGAAGTGTAGATTTAAGTTCTATGCTTCTAGGTTAGTGAAATCAGATGCTTAGCAGATTAAGTCTTTAGTGTTGAAGCATAGGTGTGTTAGGACAAAGATGAACAAGAAGTTGACTGCTGAATTTCTGGCAGACAGGTACTTAGAGGAGTTTAGGAGTAACCCAGGGTGGAAGATAAGACAGATTCAAGAGAGGGCATTGAATGATTTGGGGATAAAGGTTGGGTATTACAAGGCCTGGTTGGCAAGGAGCAGGGCCAAATTGGTAATTTATGGGAGTGCAACTGAGCAATATGCTAGGGTATGGGACTATAGGAAAGCTTTCCTAAAGTACAACCCAGGCAGCAGTTACAATGTGGTTGTGGATACAATGGATCAGATACAGAGGCCAATCTTCATGAGTACATTTGCCTTGCTCCACTGAGTTTTGGGTTTGTCTCTGGTTGCAGACCCATCATTGGGGTGGATGTTGCCACCTTAAAGGAGCATATCCTGGGCAAATATTGGTGGCTGTAGGTAAAGATAGAAATAACAACATATTTCCTATAGCCTGGGCAACATGTGAAATTGAGAATAAGGAGACCTGGGTGTGGTTTCTTCAAAGTCTGATGGAGTCACTAGGCTGCTTTGATAAAGGACATGTCTTGACTTTCATGTCTGATAGCCAGAAAGTAAGTATCTTCTTTCTGGTTTTTGCTTTTTTTTTTTCATTTATATGGTTTAACTTTTGTGTCTTTTGTAATATGCTAGGGTTTGATTGAAGCATTTGCTGAAGTTGTCCCAAAGGCAGAGCTGAGGTTCTGTGTGAGACACATTTGGGCAAATTTCAAATTGCAATTTCATGGGGCCACTTTCAAGGAGCTTTTTTGGGCAGCAGCTAGGGCAAGCATAGTGGTATATGCCTTCACTTTAATTTCATGTGTTTGTATTTGTGTGTTTTTACTGTATATAATTTGTCGTATAGTCTAGGATATTTGTGTTTGCATATGTGTGTTTGTGTGTGTGTGTGTACAATTTGGAGTATTGAATTTAGCATTGCTGTATATCATAACTTTGACATTGCTGTACAATTTGGAGTATTGAATCTATGCTGTGTGTCTTTGTGTGTGTGTGTCAGTTTGAATTTGAGGTGGCTATGGAGTCAATTCACTTCCTGAATGATGAAGCTTATGAGTACCTTGCAAACATCCCCCCACCACTGGTCTAGGCATGCTTTCTCAACTACATGCAAGTCTAACATATTGTTAAATAACATGTGTGAGACATTTAATGCTGTGATTAGGGAAGCTAGGGATAAGCCCATACTTACCCAAATGGAATGGTTAAGAAGGTACATGATGAAGAGAAGTAATGATAAGTGGGAGGCTGCCTCTAACTGGGAGGGTTTATTAACACCATATGTGAACAAGTTGTTTGATAGCATTGAGAAGTATGCTAGGGCATGTATTGTGGTGGCTTCTAGGGGATAGACCTATGAGGTTCAGTACAAAGATGACCAGTGTGTTGTTGACTTGTCAAATAGGACATGCACTTGCTATAGGTGGGAGTTGACAGGGATACCCTGTACCCATGCTTATGCTTGCATTTTGGACAAAAGGGAGGACCTAGAGTTGTATGTGCATGTTCACTATTATAGGGTCACTTACCTAGATGCATATGAGTCTCCCATAGCTGCAATGCCTGGTTCAAAGCATTGGGAAAGGGTCCAGCTTAGAGAGCCTTTGCCACCTGTGATAAAGGTTCAGCCAGGCAGACCAAAAGCAAAAAAAAGGAAGCTTGAACAAGGTGAAGGGTCTTCTGCTGCTACTTCTCAGGGGAAAAAACAAAAGATCAAAAAGCAATGTAGCAACTGTGGTGGGTTTGGACATTATGCCAAAACCTGTAAGCAAGGTCCTGCACTAGAGAAACCACAACAGGTTGCACCAAATCCCAAAGGGGAAGGCCACAGCTGCAGACAGCTTGGATGAAAGAGCAAAGCAAGAAAAGTGAGGCTAAAGCTGCAAAACAGGTATATACATGCAATTTTGCATTCATTGTATGTGTTTTAGGTTCAGAAACAATCAGCAATTGATGACCTCTGTTCTTTTTGACATGCAGGCTGCATTGACAATGCCAAAACCACAGACTACTACTGGAGCAGCATCATCCTAGCCTACAGCAACTGCCCTAGCATCATCAACACCCTATAAATCTCTGATTCAACCCACCACCAGAGGCAGAAAAAAGAGCTCAAGTCAACCACAACCATATGAGTCTTCATCTCAGCCAGCCCAAGCAATAGATCGAAGCAAGGCCCAAGCTGCCAGTTACCAGGAGCAGGACAAAGAATTTGAACAACTTGTAATAGTTTAGAGAATTTGTACTTCATGAACAGCTTAGTTTTTTTAAGTAATTTCATTTGTGTAGTTGGACAACTTAGTTTTTTAAGGTGAACTTATGTAGTGCTCTTTTGCTTCAAAACTTTCTCAACATTTTGTATGCATATGTGAATATGCCTTTTGCTACTAAAATGAATGGGAATGACTAAATTAAGCACTACAAGTTAGAGCAACCTTTTCAATACATTTCATTTCATTTTATTAAGCAAATATTCAAATACATAACATGAAATGGCAACCCTAACAAAAGCCATAAAACCTTGCCTAAATTTCTAAATGTTCACACTAATCCTAAGATCTAGCAAAATACAAGGCCATAACCAAACCTAGGAAACAAAACACAACAACACCCATAAACAAAGCCAAATTCTTTGATGATCCTTCATTTCCATGAGTCTCCATGCTCATCTTCTTCCTGTCAGAATTCAGTGCCTTACACTTGATCTTCAAGGAATCAATCTCATTCAACAAGCATCTCCTCTGCCCACTAACATCATCTACTTCCCTCTTCAAGTCATTAATCTCACCCTTCATCAATTTCTTGTCAAGTATTAAGTTGTTAATCACCTCTGTTTGCCATGGTGTTCCATCTGGCTGATCCACCCACTCAAAGGCTTTACAACCCCTTGTCTCTGTCACAGGGTCATAGAACTTGCAGGACCTGAACTTGCGTCCCGGATTCTCCCTAGTCCAGGAAGTAAGCTTTGCCATGGGTAATCCGCATTGAAATTTTTTTTTCTTTTGATGGTGAATAACTTACGGAAGACATTTCCAGCAACAATTGGCAAGCACCACAATCAACATTACTCCCAATTGAACAAAATTACCATTGCCATACCCTAATTACAATAATCAATTCAAATTTAAAAAACCCCAATTCAATTGAAACTAACATGAACCCTAATGTTAAAAATACGAAATTGGGGATCAATTCTTAAGTCATATCCACAATTAAAATCAAACATCACATTTGCGACATAATTCAGACAACAATTGCAAAAATTTGCTACGAATTCATCTTATTAGAGATTTAATTGAACAACGTACCTCCTTCCAATTTCTGTCTCAGTGAACTTTGTTAAATGAGCACAAATATGGAACAAATCGATGCTGGGAATGCTAGGGCAAAGTGAAATTGAGGTTTTTGGAAGCAAATCGAAAAAAAAAACCCAAAATCAGTGGATTTTTTTCAAGAAATTGGTAATAAGGGTTATTTATATCGGAAAATCGAGGAAGAAAGGGCCAAATTTAAAAAAGTAGCCGTTAGAATGGGACCCACAACAAATTTCCGTCACCGGAGTCAGGTGGAGGTGGTAAAACCTATATTTATTTTTTTTATAAGGTGGTAAAGTAATACTTTTTTTTGGGAGGTGGTAAAACAGATTTTAGTGTTTTTGTAAGGTGGTAAAAAACAAAATTTCCTAAGCATTAAGCACCAACAACAATTTTACAGAAAGCTATGAATATACTCAGTATCAATAATTGCATAGTACCTTGATAATATTAGTGAGAATTGCGATAAATGAAAACAAATATAATAACAACAGGACACTAGCTTATTCTGACATTACCAAATACAAGCTGTAGTTGTTTCCATCATGTAGCTTCAATTATGATTTGATAGTTAAATATTTTAATTTCACGCCATGATTTGAATTGAAGGTTCGGAAATATGACCGGAAAAATCAACTGTAATTGTTAATCAATAAATTTGAAAGCAAGTATTGCAATTTGAGTAATTTAGGGTTCGTAATTTGATCATCGACAGGTTAATCAATTGCAGGCTGAAAATTAAGATTAGTGGAATTGAAATTCTATACAGATACAACTATCTTGTTGTGGTTTGAGGTTAAATTTGGTTGCAATATTCTTTTGTTTGGTTGAAAAAACATGAGAGAAAAATATTGGGGCCTGTGATTGTTGTTGTTGTTTTCATGAATGAGTTGATTGCTTATGGGCCTTGTGGCACGTGTGAGATTTGGATGTACAATAATATTATTGTACACTGGGGCACGCAAAAACTTTTGTAAATAATTTGCTTATTTAAATCTTTCTTGTCCAACTATTTGTTTTAAGTCGTTATTTAAGGTAACTCTAATGATTTGGATTTAATCATGTGCTTATACTACAATTATTATATAGAGATAAGAAAACCGTAGAAGAAAGCTTTTGTTACATAAAAGATGCTTATGAAGAATTAAAATCGAATTATGTAGTACTACAATCTTACTAATATAATGTTTCTTTGTTCAAATCAAACATTTACAACTAACAATTAATTGACATAATGAAAGTAAACACTTACAACTAACAATTAATTGACATAACAAGAATAAAATCTAGGCAGACAACATAAACTCAAGAAAACATACATACTTAACTAAGACTCTAAGTGTCTCTAAGTCACATTTAGTACACTAACATAAAAGAGTATCATCGAATAGTCTATTTTTATACTTAACTAAGACTCAAAGTGTCTCTACGCTGTGACTGCTGTCGCTCTGCATCTTGGTTGTGTGGGCTTCTGTTTGAGGAAGTGCTAGCCTGACCTTGACCGTTATTACGAGGAGCATCATTTGATTTCACATGAGGTTCGTGCTTGAATTCTGTTATGAGTTGTTCCATATTCTTAGAAACCAGCGCGATTACTTTAGCAGACGAGTCAATTTCTCCTCGAATGTTCTCCATGATATCAGGAATTGTATCAACTCCGAGCAAGAACTCAAAACTTATCATTCTAACCATATCAAGGCCATCAATAATAATCCTCAAAGTAATAGATATCGATACATCCTCTGACATTTTCCCCTGTAACCAGAATTTCTTATATCCGCTGTCAAATTCCATCAGTACTTCTGTAGGCTGCAGTAGTAGTCCAGCCACCTGATCTTGCACAGATTCTTTCAGAGACAGACTACCAGCACAAGTACTTGCAGTCGATGTGTCAGCAACATCGACTGCAAGCAATGGGTCATTCAGAAGGTCCAATGCTGTCGGTCTAACAATATCAGGTGCAAAGTCAATACACTTATCAATCAACTGCTTCATTTGAGGATCAGTCACACTGAGTAGCCCAACAGGCTTGAAACCGATGTCAACCAGATCATTGTCGCTGCTGAGTTCTGTGATTTGTACTTCCTTATTCATCATCTGCGTTAAGCTAGTCCCAAACGAAAATATATCAGTCTGAAACGCTGGCGTACTCCCTGATTCAAAAATCTTTGCAATTCCCAAGTCTCCTAGTTTAATCGTGCTCGTGTTACCTTTAACAAATATGTTACTACACTTAATATCACGGTGAGTAATAGGCGGATTATGAGTATGAAGATAATGTAACGCACTTAAAATCTGTCTACACCAATTCTTGATCGCCCGTATTACCCACAAGATCAGGTACATGTTCCCTGCTATAGTCTGTCAGATTTCCTGAAGAACAAAACTCAGTAATCATGTGGACGACTTTCTGGTCATCATCAATCCAATAACGGTAACATTTCGTAATGTTTTCGTGGTCTAGACCTCAAAAATTCAGGTTCGGCACATAATTCCTCAAGATTTTCAATAGACGCTATTTCGTACCTTGCGAATTTTCTTGTGAGATCTGTCTCCATAACCGTATAATCGTTGGCTTGTGAACTCGAAGCCGCCATTACTAACCGAGTAGTAGGGAAATCAGTTAAGTCGGTTATCAAGATCAAGAAACTTAAAATGGGGTTTCTTGATTAGTTACTCCTATTATATTCTAGGAAATATTTAGGAATATATTGATTTGGTGAATATTTTTATTCACTACGAGCAGGATATATTTTCCCGTAATTGTCTCTAGTTTCTTTTGCTAGCTGTGCACTTTGGTTAGGCTTAGCCGCTTAGGAAACTAGACTACTTGTATCACAAATATTCTGTTCGGTGGATCAATATCTTATTTTACACCTTTCTTGATTTTCACATTAATAAATTTCTTTGTAAAATGAAATCAAGTATTTTGTTTTTGCAAATATGATTGGTTTTACCACTTAATAATACGGAGTATATTAATAAAATGGTATTTTCAGTTTCTTGATTACCGTATTTACCGACTTCACCCAAATTGTTATAAATGTATATAACCATTAGAAATTTAGAATTACTCTTCAAATCATAATTTTCGTTTTTATTGTCACATCACATGTTACTTTTCTTCAAAATTAATAAACTCTTACGTTATTCACTTGCATACCAATCATCCTTGTTCTATCTGTATTAGATTTCCTTTTTATGTCATAAAAACATAGTTAATTGCTATGAATGTTGGGTTGACGTCCATGACAAGTCTGAAGATAATAATGCTGCAGTGAAGAATTGGTGTCGACAAGTCTGAAGATCATAATGCTACAGTTGACAGATTCTGAATGCAATACCTTTTGTAGCGCACTTTGAATCTGTCTACACCAATTTTTGATCGCCGTATAGTATTGTATTTCCTACAAGATCATCTACCGTTTTCCACCATACACCCAGGTGTACCATGAGCATGGTACACTCAGTTATAAACTTATAATACAAGGTTATTAAAAATCGCGGAAAGAACATTGCATACAAATTAAAGTACATGAGTCAAAAAAAAAAAAAATCAAAATAATTCCCACCTTGATTTAAGGTATTGATTTGTTATTTATATTTCTTGATTCATGAAATTGATTTATTATTTATATTTTATATATTAATAGAATACTTTTGATGAATAGAAGTTCATTTATTTTGTTAAGAGATAGAAAGAGAGTTTATATAGAGAGAGAAATCATAGTAAATTTTTTATTTCTAAGTGATTTAATGTTTTAATAGAGTTGATTTTATGGTTCCAAACTTCCAATATATCTCTTAATGATGTAATTGATTAATTCATTGTTGAGAGAAAAGGTATTTTTTTTTTAAAATAAAAATCATTGTTTTCTTGCTATTTTCTGAGGTTGAAGATGATGTTCTTCGTATTATGATAAATGTTCTATTATCATTTCTTAGTACATATTCTTTTTTTTTTATTGGAATATAATATGTTCATTAAATCTGATCAATATGTTTTTGTATATGAGCTATATTATGTTCTTTACATTATAAACATTGTACTTTAATTTATGTAGTTAAAAAATGTTCTTTGTTGGGTTTCATTAATACAAATAATGTTCTTTAACTTAGATAGTATGTTCTTCTTAGGTCCTGTTATCTTCACCTTAAAAAAATAATATTAAGTAAAAATAATTTGAGTTAAGTAAAAATAAGGTAAGTTCTGTAAAATTAATTTTAATTCAGTAAAAATAATTTCAGTTCAGTAAAAATAAGTTCAGTTCAGTAAAATTCAGTTTTCTTAAAGAAGAATTATAATAGAAAATCAGTAAAAATAATTTCAGTTCAGTAAAAATAATTAAGTTCAGTAAAAATAATTTCAATTTAGTAAAATTAAGTTCAGTTCAGTAAAAACAAGTTTAGTTCAGTAAAATAATTTCAGTTCAGCAAAATTAAGGTGAATCAAACAGGGCCTTACTATGCATTTGCTTTAAACCTCGTATTATTTCGGGTATTATGTCTTCTTTTTTTTATCATTGCGCTCTCTTGTTTCATCCCCTATGTTTTTTTTTTTTTTTTTTTTTTTTTTTTTTGGTAACGGTGAAAAATATGATTAATTTTTGTATACATTTAAAAAAAAAATTGAAATAAAGTATATTGAACATGAAATTTTAAATTTTGAATTTTTGAAATTTGAAAATGAAATCTTCAATTATTTTTGGTAGAAAAAAATCTTAGATAAAGAAATTAAGGAAAACTCAATATTTTGAAATGATTTAACATTAAATGAGTGGTAAAAATCAATTAGTAACTATCTACTACATTTTTCTTAAATTAGTTATTCATAACTTACCATGTTTCAATCCGGGAGTACCATGCACATGGTACACCCGGGTGTACGAACCAACCATTGACGTTTTTAGGTTACTACTGCCGTATTATGCAAGATCAGGTGGCTAGATTACTTCTGCCACCTACAGAAGTCAGTTTACAAGGGATAATGTTAGAGGATGTATCGATTTCTATTACTTTGAGGATTACTATAGATGGCATTGATATGGTTAGAACGATAAGTTTTGAGTTCTTACTCAGAAATTGAACTTTTTGCAAAGATTGAGTCGGGTGTTAAGTCGGTTGCTCTGTACCTTGTGCAAGTATTAAACTCAAGAATATTATGGAGAAAACAACTTAGCTTTCGTATTGATATTAATCACATATATATACACCATACATTAGGAAACCTAATTAGCCTAAAACTCCTAATAAGATAAACTTATTAACATAAATACAATATTAATATAAATATAACAAATAAACCAAACCGGCTTTAATACTCCCCTTCAAGTTAGAGCATGCAAATCACGAATGCCCAACTTACGTAATAGAAAACCAAATTGCTGACGTCCAAGAGCCTTGGTTAAAATACTGCTAACTGATGACATGTCGAAACATAGGAGGTAGAAATATTACCATTTATCAATTTATCGCGAACAAAATGACAATCTACCTCAATATGCTTCCTATGTTCTTGAAATACCGAATTCTTAGCTATATGCAAAGCCGACTGATTATCACAAAACATCTGCATAGGCTTTGAATGTTTAACACCAAGAACAAACAACAACTTTTTCAATCATTTCAACTCACGAGTAGTGAGAGCCATAGACCTGTATTCGGCTTCAGACGAGGAACCCTTGCACTATGGAGTAGTATTTATGATGAATTAAATTAAGAATTATAAGCATGAATTGTATGGAACCAGGGGAACGGGTGCTCTAAAGAGCCGGAGCGTCTGCTGCAACGAACAAGAAGAAAATAGCCAAAAAGGATATATATATATATATATATATATATATATATATATATATATATATATATATATATATATATATATATATATATATATATATATACGGGGAGGTTCCGCTAAAAATAGAGCTTATGGTGAAAACTATATCATTACTAGCACAAAAGATCAGACGGTTCTAAAGCCCTAAGATCATTCCAACCTTACATATAATCAATTCACCTGTTTTAAAGGTTTTTTTTTTTTTTTTTGACAAACGCAACGTTTTAAAGGTCACTACATGCTAAAATAAGGTAACTTTATCTAAATTGACGATATTTACATAAAGTCACTATATATAAAAATAACGTAACTATATACAAAAATAGGATAGCTATATAAATTTTGATCATATTTACATAAAGGTCACTATATACAAAAATAAGGTAACTATATCAATTATTAGAATATTTATTTGAGGTCACTATATACAAAAATAGGGTAACTATATCAATTTTTAGCATATTTACATAAAGGTCACTATATACAAAAATAAGGTAACTATATCAATTTTGACCACATTTATACAGAGGCCACTATATATAAAAATAACGAAGGTCACTATATATAAAAATAAGGTAATTATATAAATTTTGACAACATTGACCACATTTATATAGATATCACTATTTACAAAAGTAAGGTAACTATCATCAGATAACTTCTCCTTCTCCGGCCTCCTTGTCATCAGATAACTTCTCCTGCTGCTCCTTATCATAAGATAATTCCTGCTGCTCCTCCTTGTCACCACCAAAGGAGTAGTCCACTGGCTCCAAACCCGGCAGTCAAAGCTCATCAAACGGACAAACTTTCCTGCTTCACAGTCAGTCATCACCTGTTAGATAGCAGCCAGATTTTGGTAACATTGTAATAGTACCCTCCTTGCCACAGAACTTGCACTGAAATAATGAAAGGGTGATTGATTAGCAACAAGCCAAAAACACAATGTAACTACCACCATTACCAATGTAAGAAAATCCAAAATTTAGAAGGCAATAACACACAAAAAGCAACAGAATTTTAATAGCTGGAATGGAACAAAGTTAACAGCTCACAGAAAATTTATACATTGTAATATAATTCAGGCATCAAATGTCAATTAAGTGTAAACCAGAAAAATGCAGAAATGCAACACGTGATTCATACATATCAAAGCATCAAACACATTCTATAAGCTGCAGGACATTATTCAAGGCTTAGTCAATACAGATATAGCAACAACGTAAGCCATATATCACTTGAACGGGCACACTATTATTGAAAAAGATGGAATCAGTACATCAAATGACTGAACAATAGATAAAAAAAAGAATTCTAAGAGCCAGAGCAGAAGTACTAGTACAACATTAATACACTATCATAAACCATTCCCCAAGTGCCAATACAAGGCCATCAATTGACATCCGGAAGAAAACATATGAAACAAGTCCTAATTCCTAAGCAAATAATCCTAAGATAACAGAATTGCAGAAATTTCATACCAAACTTAAACGCTATATCATGTTGAACAGTTCAATAAATCAGACAGGTATCAAAACAACGAGGAGAAATTTCCAGTTTGCAACCCTGGTGTTCATAATCCTTAATACATGTTCAATACTCCTGTAATGGATGAAGAAGCTTAAGGGGTATTCAACTCGCTTCTAGCAAATTGACGAAAGATCATCACTAAACATAAAAGATGAAAGTTCAAAGCTCCTAGAACCCACAAGTTCTTAAAAACTTTAAAACACTTTCCTTCACTATAAGATACGCTAGAAATAGACTTCATAAACACTGATCATCTTACAGATAACACACATTTTTGTAACATTCAGTAAGATAAATACAGCATATGATTCATTGATCAACACATAACTACAATCACTACAATAACCATGTAACATTTACAGTAAGATAAATGCAGCATATGATTCATTGATCAACACATAACTACAATCACTACAATAACCAAGAAATAGTCAATATAATGCTAAAACCCTCATGAAACTAAATGGCAAGAAATTAGTCCAGAAAAAGAAATTAACACTGACAAAACCAATCAATAGTGCCAAAATACTACCTCCATTCAAATATAATTGTAACATTACTCATTCAAATTACACTATCAATGCGACAACTAAATCTCAAATAGAGCGAGCACAATCAAATCAGAATAGAACAACAGATTATCAGAGAGTAATAGAGATAAACCTTCTGAACAAGATTAGCCTGGTCACGACTCTTAGGGATAGGAACAACTTCTCCCAACATCACATAACTCTCCTTCTCTGTCACCTCTCCATAATTCCCACATTTCACCTGCAAAAACCCACAAATCAAAAAAGTTGAAAGCAAAAAATGAATGAATAAAATTGAACAAAATTGAACAAAATCAACCAGGAAATCGAACAAAATTGAACAAAGTCGAACAGGAAATCGCAAAATCAAACAATATCGAACAAAATTGATGAAAAAAAGTCGAAAAAATTGATGAGCAAAACTCGCAAAATCGCATTGGAAATCGAACAAAATTGATGAACGAAACACGCAAAATCTCGTCATAATCAAACATGCATGTTACTAAAATTACCCAAACTTAATTTACTAAAATCAGAAACACAAAAATCGTGTTACTAAGAAGGTGAAGAACAACAACAAAAGTAGAAATTCGAGCAAAAATACTCCTACTAAAACGAACTTAAGTTGAAAATCAAAAAATCAAATCAAATCGAAAAAATAAATAAAAAACTTGCAAAATTACAAAATTAAACAAAAAGCATACACGAAAAATACAATAGACATTAAATTTCCGGTTGAATCTACAAAAAAATACTCATGAAATTCCAGCAAACAAAATTTCAGAAACCTAATAACCTCAAATCGTGCAAAAATAGCGAAATTACCACAAAGAACTCACCTGATAATAGATCGTAGAGCTGAGAAATTGCTAAAAATCAAAATAATTGAAGCGGTGTTTGAAAAAGTAGCGTGAAAATTGGGAAAAAATGTCGAGAAATTAGGAGAGAGAAAGTGAAGAGAGAAGGAAGAGGAGGAAGAAAATAACAGAGGAGAGAGAAGGTGTTTTCGCGGGAGGAGAAAGAAAATTAGGTTATATACATTAGATGTCATCCGCTAGATTATAATCTACGGCTAAGATTAATTGTTTTCAGTTTTTACCCTAAGACTTGTTTTTACATGATCCTAATCCTATATATATATATATATATATATATATATATATATATATATATATATATATATATATATATATATATATATATATATATATATATAAATTGGGATGACATTGGTAAACAAGAAACCAAAAATACCATTTCTTGATTTTCACATTAATGAATAAATATCTTTTTAAAATTATTCGTTTTATCACTTAATTATATGTAATTTTGGACTTAGGTATTAATGTGTTATTCTAGTTTCACTTAAATTTATTAGGACCTTGCTAACAAGCACCCCGGGGCATTTGATAAGGGATAAATATATTACTTAAAATAGTATTAAATTCGGAATGCATGACAAATCACACATCGATCGATGTAATTAATGTTATTCATACCATTATATTTTCACATTTAGCTCTCTTATCTAAAGCCCTGAGGGCGCTCGTTAGCTTTTGCTAATTTATAACGCATTTTTAACGAGGGTATTCTATTATGTACCAAAAGTAGAAACCTAATTAAAAGTGTAAATATTAATGAATAAAGATTTTTTTTTTTTTTTTGTAAGGCAAATTAAAGAAATGATGTATATTTTATAAAAATTTAAAAAAAAAATTAAAAAAATAAAAAATTAAGAAACCCCATTTTAAGTTTCTTGATCTTGATAACCGACTAAACTGATTTCCCTACAAAACTAACAACTTAATACGGAGTATGTAATTTTGGACTAAAGTATAAATTCTGACTAATTTCCAAAGTGCTTAATGTGTGTTATCCTAAGTTTAGGTTAAATTAATTAATGCATTTTTAAGGAGAGTAGTCTATAGTCTATACACCGAAAGTAGAAAAGCTAAATAAAAGACTAAATATCTTTATCTACACTTATATCATCATCATCGTCATCATCATGCATTCATACCACATATAAATTTTATTTTTCACTATTGTCACATAAAAGTTGCTTATGAAGAATTAAAATTAAATTATATAGCACTTAACAACAATGATCTTACTAATATAACGTTCGTTTTTTCCAAATTAAACACTTATAACCGACAATTAATTGACATAAGAGCATCTCCAATGGCAAAGCTATTTATCAAATTAGCTTGCCATTGCCACATAGGATTTTAAGCTACTCCATTTTCTAGCTAATTTGTGCAATAATTGTTAGCTAATTTCTTAACATTTTTTTATTGAATTAATATTTTATTTTAAAAAATTATTTTTAGAAAGTGAAATTACTAACAAAACATTCTTTATTTTCATTGACTTTTTATGGTCAATTTTTATGTATGTCACTCTCATATGAGGGAAGGGGCTAGACTGTAACGACTCCAACTCTATACGTTTAAAATTCTTAAATGGACTGTTACTTTCTCTAGGAGGATATAATTTCAAATAAGGAGGATATAATTTTAAGTTGCGACCATGTGATACACATTAGCTAGAAAATATATTGATTGATTAAAAAAAAATCAAACAAATAAATATAATAAGACAATAATATACATATTCAATATAATGTAATAAAATAACAACATAAGTTAAACACTAAAGTGACCTGATTGACCCGACCAAAATGACCCGACCCGTAACCCGAAAGTTGACCCGAAATGACCCGAACCTGAACTAACCCGACGCGACTCGAACCCGACACGAAATAGAGTTGACCCGATGACCCGAAGTGACCCGACTCAAATGACTTGACCCGAAATCGACCCAAAACCTGAACTTGAACCGACCCGAAATGACCCGAAACCCGAAGTGACATGACCCGTTAGCCAAAATTGATTGACCCGAATCGACCCGACTTGTAGTGACCCAACCCGAATTGACCCGAAACCTAAGTGAATAGGGTGAAATAGTGAATTACTTAGTTTAGGGCTTTTTTATTTCCTACGTAATAGATACTCATGATTTTTTTTAATGATTTTACTTTATTTTTCAAATTATTTTTTTTAAGTGAATTTATTTTGGTGACCCGACACAAACTTGACCCGAATAGACCCGACCCGAATTGACTCGATCCAAATTTGACCCGACCCAAAATTGACCCGAAAATTAATCTTAAAAATTGACCCGACCCGAACAGACCCGACCCGAAATTGACCCGAAAATTGATCTTAAAAATTGAGCCGACCCGAACGACCCGACTCGAATTAACACGACTCGAACTTGACCCGACTATAACTTGACCTGAAGTGCTGACCCGATTTTGACCCGAAACCCGAATCAACCCGACTCGACCCGAACATTTGCTGACCCGAACTTGACCCGACCTGAATTGACTCGACCCGACCCCGACCTGAATGACCTGTTTGCCAGGTCTAAACCATATAATTAATAAAAAAAAATTTATAGTAACAACGACAATTATAACAATATCAAAAGTTAAACACTGTATAATAAAATTAATAAACAAGCATATTATCCATTAAGGGATTGCCTTCCGAAACAACTCCATATATTATTATCCAATGGATAGTAAGTAGCTTAGAATTTTTCATAAATTGCAAGCAGGTCCCCAAATTCATCCGTTGGAGTTGCTATAAGGAAAGTAAAATTTAGGTAAAAAACCCAATCCTAAGTAGTGTACACTTCCTTCCTTAAAAGACAAACTAAAATAAAAAATCCTAAGTAGTGTACACTTCCTAAAAAGATAAAATTAAAATAAAAAATCCTAAGTAGTCTACACCTCTGGACCTCCCTATAAGTAGTGTACACTCCAAATTTATTTTGCAAATCAAACAACTTTGTAATAAACTGCTTCAAACAAATACCCTAACCGTTTTTTCTTGCCTTATTTCCATCATCCGACGTTAATTCCTTCAAATCTCCATCCTTTCTATCATATTATTGTAGACCCAAAGTTTATACACACGCAACTGAAAAATTTATACTCTTTCTAAAGAGCAATATCACCAAAAAAAAAAATTATAAAAAAAAAATGGAAGATAAAAGGAAAAATAAATTGCCAGCGATAGGAATCGATCTCGGACAACATACTCTTGTGTTGGAGTATGGCAGCACGGCCGTGTTGAAATCATAATCAATGATCAAGGAAACAGAACGACACCGTCTTGTGTTGCTTTCAATCAAACTCAACGTCTTGTTGGCGAGGCTGCTAAAAAATCAGGCTACTGCTAATCCAATTAATACTATTTTTGGTTCGTCTTCTACCTCTATCCTTCAATATTCGTATATATCATGTTCCAATATAACTTTGCCCAGTTTCTTATAAAATAATCCATAATTATATTTTACAAAATTGATTTTCTAACGTGTGCAAATATATGTCGATAGCATGCATTATAGAATAAATTGATTAATCTGGCGTTGACTTCCCTAAAAATTGGATTTGTTCTTTTTAGCCAACCCAAATCGTCTTATATGGTCCTTTTAAACAACCTTTTTCTTATTAGGTCCTTCTAAACAAAAGAGACCACTTATGTGGTCTTTTTGAACAAATTTTCCTAACATAATTAACAAACCAAACTTTAATGGAAACTTATAGGATTTTTTGATGGACAATTGTATATTTAAAATTATAAATATATGTTTGCTGATTTGTTTTTTTTTTTGTTTTTTGAGAACATAGATTATAGATACACAATGTTAAAATCTGAATGAGCAATATTGAGGTAATGAAAAGATATGTAGTGGGTGAGAAATACTCTATAAGTCGTATTTGTCTTCTAAAGCACATTACCTAATGTATTTTTAAAAAGTTTATACTTTCTCTGTTTCAAAGATATTGCATCAAAAGCTCTCACAATTTTTCATAGTTTTGCAATTTAAGTTTGTCAATTTCACGTATTTATTCACTGAAATACACTACAGATGCAAAGAGGCTTATTGGCAGAAGATTCACTGATGAAGTAGTGCAGAATGACATAAAACTCTGGCCTTTTAAGGTTATTTCCGTGGCTGAAGACAGCAAGCCTGTTATCGTAGTCACTTATAAAGGCGAAGAAAAGCAGTTTGCTGCAGAGGAGATCTCTTCAATGATCTTAATGAAGATGAAACAGACTGCAGAGACCTACCTTGCCTCGGAAGTGAAAAATGTTGTTGTCACTGTCCCTGCTTATTTCAATGATTCCCAACGTCAGGCAACAAAAGATGCCGGTACCATTGCTGGACTCAATGTCATGCGGATTATCAATGAACCAACGGCTGCTGCCATTGCCTATGGTCTTGATAAAATCGGCAGTGATAGGAAAGAGACGGCTAAGAACGTGTTAGTTTTTGATCTTGGTGGTGGGACATTTGATGTATCTTTGGTTAGAATTGGTAAACAGGCTTGTGAAGTGAAAGCAGTTAACGGAGACACCCATCTAGGTGGTCAGGATTTTGACAGTAGAATGGTTGATTACTTTGTGGCTGAGTTTAAGAGGAAACATAACAAGGACATCAGTAAAGACCGCAGGGCTATTGGGAGGTTGCGATCTGCTTGTGAGAGAGCTAAAAGGATGCTGTCATCAGCTACCGAAACTAGTGTTGATGTAGATTGTTTGTATGAGGGTATTGATTTGTATTCAACCATCTCCCGTGCCAAGTTCGAAAAGTTGAACTTGGATTTGTTTAAAAATTGTGTGAATCCTGTTAAGGAATGTTTGGAAGATGCCAAAATGAAAAAGGCTAATGTTGATGATGTTGTTCTAGTTGGTGGGTCAACTAGGATTCCAAAAGTTCAACAAATGTTAAAAGATTTCTTTAATGGGAAGGAGCTCTGCCAAAGCATTAACCCGGATGAGGCTGTTGCATATGGTGCTACAATTGAAGCTGCAATCTTGAGCGGTGTACGTGACAATAAAGATTTTACACTAGTAGATGTCATTCCTTTGTCCCTTGGAGTTAGAAATGAAAGTGGTGGTTGGATGAGCATTTTCATCCCAAAAATTCTACCATTCCAGCAACAAGGTCAAAAATAATGCGTACTGCAAAGCACAATCAGACAAAGGTGATATGTGATGTATACGAAGGTGAGAGCCCCATCGCCTTAGAGAACAACCTGCTAGGTACATTTACTCTGTACGATATCCCTCCAGCACCGAAAGGTAAAGAAAAAAATTGATGTTTGCTTTGAAATCGACAATGATGGTATCCTTACCGTGTCAGCGCAACATATAGGCACTGACAACAAAAAAAAAAAATCAGTATTACAAATCACAGCGGTAGGTTATCTAAAGAAGAGATTGATCAAATGGTAGAGGAGGCCAACAAGTACAAGGCAGAGGACGAGGAGCACAAAAAAGCTGTTGCAGCCAAGCTTGCATTGAAGAATTATGCTGAAAGTAAGTGGGACATGGTGGATGTTTGCTGGAACAAGTTTCGAGAGGAGGATGCTAACAAGATGAAGGATGCAATTGAGATGACAATCCAGTGGCTCGACTGGAATTTCAATCTCGCTCGAGTTTCTGAATATAACGAAAAGTTGAATGAGCTCAAGACAATTCTCGACCCTATAATTGGAGACATTCCTTAACAAATTAAAGTGCTGATACAAACTAGAGATGCTGGTAAACTACAGAGTGATAAAGTAAAAACAAGTAATTAAACTGACTAGAATCAAAACTAATCGTGTAGTTATTTTATTTAGCCCTGAAAATATTACAATCCCCTATATATTCTCTCTATTATAAAGACATAGAATTCAATAATCGTTTCTTACTTAAACTAAACAGTACATCAAGTAATACAGATGGAATGTACATACCGATTATCCTAAAATGAAAAAAAAAAAAAAAAAAAAAAAAAAAAAATTAAATTGCTAACTAATCGAAAATTGCTAACTAATCGACAGTGAGGTTCTTGAACATTGATCACACTTTGAAGATTAATCATAGGATGTATTGCTGCTGATTTGTGGTTCTGCCTTAAATGCTCTGATTCTGGCCCCTGGGAAGACCACAAACGGTTTAGTCAGGATGGTGGATTCAGTAGAATTATCAAATACTGATTCTTGAAATTCTTTCTTGAAGGGCTTAACTCTGGCACCCGGAAAGACAACGAACGGCTTGGCAAGGATGTCTGAACAACTTGTAGCGTTTTCGGGAACAGCTTCCGTAATGTTGCGGAGGATCGTGTTACTCTTATGGTAGTATGTTATCGAGAATGTGGACGATAGAAGATTCACGGAGTCTAAGTCACGGTTTACGGTGAGCAATGCCATGGTACCAAGAAAGGTAGCAAGAACCGACAAAGCGATAAAGCCGATAATTAGGAAGCAA